TTCCCTACATGCTTTTCGGTCAGGCTAAAATGTCATTTGTAGCTAGCCCACTACTTGAGTTTACTTTTGATGCTTTTTATGCCTTCCAACAGGCATCTTTATCTCGCCTCATGCCACCAACTAATACACCGAAGTGTTTAGTAATCGAGACTGGACATATAATGCTATTCTATTGGGATTCAATTTATTACAAGGAGCATAGGGATTTTATCTGGCTATCCAGCATTAATTTAATATTCTACAAAACTCTTATCCAGTCAACGTAGGTCATTAAGCCCAGGTAGAGGATTGAGTAGGTAGGTGAAATCAGTGCAGGTAAACCCTGCAACATCGATCTCAGTGTGAAAACAAAACAAACACCATTCCATGGTTAGCCTCCTCGCTACCACACCAACTGCAGTGGATTATTTCACGTCATACTATTATAAATTAAAGCAAGTTGAATCTTCTTTTTGTCACTATTAATGTCATGAATTGATTGAAAAATATCACATGTATTCATTCCAAATTGGTCGCATTTCCTTCAATAATCCGATTTTTGTAGCACTGAACTTTCAATCTCTTTTTAATGAAGAATTGTGCTAAACTTTCAGGAATTGTCTGCTTTGTTCGTATTTTCCCTCTTGCTTCACAAGTACCTTATCAGGTACTGTTTGAACAAGTAGAAGTTGGAATTCATTGGTTATTGGGCCTGGTCCCAGTGGTTGAACGGTTTGTGAGCTTCTTCCGGAAGATCCTGGATTAGAACTCCTGTGTGCGCATACCGCCAAAGAGTACAAAACAGGGCAAAATGGCTGTCCAGTGCTACCCGATTTTCAGGAGTTCACTAACTTATATCAGCCAATGGTCAGACTATTCAGTATAAGTTTATCAATGTTCTTATTGGACATACTACTGAGTTGATAATGTCACATGGAAGAGGATATTGTTATATTCATAGTTTTTTGTCTACTAGTCATAAGGACGCATTTGAAGTTGTTACTGATGTGTTTTATCGGCTAAGCAGAAATATCTGAATTCTTCTTTCAGTTATATATTGCTTTAATCCTTTATTTCAAAGGTTGTACAGTCACGATGATAGGACTATGAGCGATTAAATGTGTTTGAAATGTGGTCCAGTAAATAATACTGTATAGACGCTTGCAACATCAAGTAAATTATTCTAAAAAGGAATTACGTTTGATCATAGTGACTATGTTTTGGTGATACTGTACAGTTATTTGAAGTTTAAATAAACTAGGACTTTAACTCTTTTTGAAAAATATTATATTCGTAGTTGTTCAAATATTCATTTATTTCTTTTGATTATAGCTTGATTCCACACCGTATTTTTGGTACAAACTGGTCGAAGAAGCAGCAAAGACAGGACTCCAGATAAACATAGACAAGACGGAGGTTATGAAAATAACCAACCAACAACAGCAACAACATTCAACGTCAATCAACATCAACGGGAGGGATTTGAAAGAGGTTACTACATTCACTTATCTAGGGAGCATTGTCCTTCTCAACTACAGGAGGAGCGGACGAGGATGTCAAATCGAGCGAGAATCAGGAAGGCGATAAACACATTCATCAACCTGAAACCAATCTGGAAATCTCCGTCACTCAGCATCAACAACAAAATTTGGTAGGATTTTCAGTATGAACGTAAAGTCAGTTCTTCTATACGCATCAGAAACTTGGCAGGTGGGTCATAGAGAATATTTCCAACAGGTTACTGCAGACCTTTATCAACAACTGTCTTCGTTCTATACTGAAGATCAGATGGCCGGACTAGAAAGAATCACCAACAAGAAACTACGGGCACTAACAAACAAAACAAGAACCAATTGCCAACCAACAAATATGCAGGAGAGAGTGGAGATGGATCGGACACCGCTGAGGAAACCGCTGGGTGACATCGCTCGCGTCAGGCCATTGCTCAAGTGGAATCCGAAAAGGAAGCGGCGAGTAGGACTTCAGTGCAAGGATGACATGGAGGAGATTGTGTGAAGCGGAGTTGAAACAGTATGGACTAACATAGATGCAGATGAAAAGTACAGCAGAAGACAGAAACAAGTGGAGACGTGCAGTTGAAGCCCTATGTTCCACTGGGAACCCAAGGGAGCAATAAAAAATATATATGGAATTTTCAGCATTTTACATTGGTTACCCAAATTTTGCAGGCCGACCATTGATATCAGGTGTGTGTTAGCAGGGGATTGAACCCTGGACCATGTTCATAGTCGGTGAGTGTCTTAACCGCTATGCCACCGACGCACACATATAGTATACCATATTCAACATGTCATTTACTAACTTTGTATTTTCTCAATTACTGTGTTCGCCAGGCCTTTAGAATGAAGGTGAACTTTAAGTTGTCCTATCTAGGTTAATTTTCAGAGAAAAGACACTTTCGTATTTACTAAAATAATCGATGAAAGAATTCAGAAGTCATATCAATCAGTGGTCAAACTGGTAAGAACAAATTTTATCCTTACAAACCAACTCTTGAACATATCTGTATTTATTTTCAGAAGAATTACATAGATAGTTAACTTTAAAGTGTATCTGTGTATGTGTACGAACCACTTGGTATTATAACATGTTTCATTCAGCGCAAAGATCCAACATTTAAAGGCATATTTAATATCTTTCATTTCATAATCTTGACAATCCAGTGTGAGCTAAAATCAGATAAATTTTCAGATATGATGGAGAAGATTTGTGGCTCACGTGGATGATTTTGATGTAGTTGTGTTCTCTCTGAGCTGGATAGTTGATTTGCAAAGCTTCCGCAGATATTTCAATTTGAAGTGAGCTGTCAAATTTCTGCACGAGTTTGTTAACCATCTCTCCCGGTGCCGTTGAACGCGATTAGTTGTTTTTGTGTGTTCTCACACCATCTACACTACTTGTATTGGAACTGATTGTTTCCTTGACTTGTGTGTGAGGTTTCTTTCTTATCAGTTGATAAATTTTGTCTATGTTGATGTGTCTATTGATTGATGATTTACTGGAATACCAAACAGGCTTCTAAAAGTTCTCTAGCATTCTTGGTGTTTCCTCTGTCTGATATTTGAACGTTGTCCCAGTCGAATTGATGTCCGTGGTTGTCTGTATGTAGTGATATGAGGGAGTGGATATCATGTCTTTTGACGGCTAGTTTGTGTTCGTGGATACGAAGGCGAAGGCGACGTCCACTTTGGCCAATGTAGTGTTTTTCGCAGTTGTTACAATTTATTTTGCAGATGATGTTGGTTTTATCTTCTTTCGCTGTTGAGCCTTTCGGTTGACATAGAATTGAGTGGATTGTTTTTGTTGTTTTGTGTACGATGTCAGTTCCTAGAGGTTTGAAGAGTCTTGTAGTGATTTCTGAGATATCCCTTATATTTGGTAAGGCGATTTTCTTTGTGCTTTCCTTGGGGGCTTTTGGTTTGATAGGTTGGCTTGGGGTGTGTCTTTTGATGAAATTCCGTAGATATCCATTCTTTTGGAGAAACATCCATAAGATATCATTCTTCAATCTTCCTTAAGGTGGGAGTGGTGCAATAAGCCCTGGACCTCCTGAATAAATTTTTCAAATCCAGACACTGGTTAGTATAAAATCTTCATTTACAGTAAACTTTTTCCCTAACTTCCAGTTTCTTGTATATGATCGGTCAGTGATTTCATCTGATAACTGATGGATCTATACAGGTAATAAGCTAATGTACAGTTGTGTTTTTTTACTTAAGACTCATTAGAGCAATATGTTTGCCATCTCAATTGCATACTCCTTTTGTGGGAAAGATTCACATGATTCTATTTCCAGTGTAAAACACTACTAATGAGTTGTGTAGACAAGACCACTGATCTAACCGATTGTAAAATGCAAGCTAAATCATCCGAGAGTGGATTTTCTTCTTCGTGTTTTCCGCACGAATATTAAATTAAAGATCGTACAACATGATTTATTACCTATGCAATTGTTTAAACGAGAATAATCAGCAAGAATCTTACAGAACTTTGATTTATTTTGGGCTTAAAGCGAAAATTATCTCAATTACATCTCAACAGGTAACTACAGATGAAGACATTTAATGACTTTTGTTAAGTTCTTCGAGCTTTCATGTGAAAACATATTATATCTCAGCTGCTAAAAAAAGAATCTAGATGAATGACGAATACAAACCAGCCTCTTACATTGTTGGTCTTCAAAGTTACTTTACTGAAATTATTTTGAATTCTTATCAGACAAGCTTTTCAACATTTAATTGAATTTGAGATTTTCCCGTCGATTGATTGGACCGAAGTGCTCGGTCTCAGGTTGACATGTTGGCTTCTTGTCATCATCCACAGATTAAATTCTAATTAAATGCCCAGACATCGTCGAAGCATCTACACAAGAAGCCGACATGTCAACCTGAGACCGAGCACTTCGGTCCAATCAATCGATGGGAAAATCTAAAATTCAATTGAATAATTAATATGACCCGTCGCACAAGAGGCAGTGGCTCTCGTGGCCCAAGTGGTCTAGTGGATAACGCTTTGGCGTTTATAACTAAGGAGCCTGGGTTCGAGCCTTCGCAGGAACATCATCACTCACTGGGGACGCAGGTACATCCAGTGACGAGTCCCGAACAGGACGAAATGCGCATCCTGGATTCCACTGCTAGTCATCATCCACAGATTAAAGTTTGCAACAGTTGATATGTACACTTTATTAAATAATTTGTGAGATCATTTGTATGCGGTAGATCGATTAGCCAGCATGACTGCCAAGCTGCTCAATGAAACAAGTCTTTCTGAGCCTTAAACTCCATGTTACGATGGGTAAAGTAATTTCATGGGTTCTTCAATGTGTCTGATGTTCAAGCTGGATAACAGTTTCTCAGCCAAAAATCGTGGTTACTCTTATTTCCCATTATATGAACTGTATTTCTATCGATTTGCTTTTGCATATAGTGAGCATAGATCAAAAGAAGTTTGAGCGAATTTGACTGAAGAAATGCTACTGAAATGCACAAATGACTTACCTCCACAGTTAAATATTTTCCTTACAGATGTAGTTGAAAGCGTATTCTTTCTCAACTTGTCCGCCAACTGACCACCAATAGGAACAATAACGGCCATAACTAAATGTGGTAATGCTGATAAGAATCCAGTCTAAAAGAGAGGGAAAATGCAATATACATATGTATATAGGGCTGTCAAGTGTTCACTATGGTAATTCAAAATATCTATCTTAAGATTTTATCGAATACTGTGCTTATTGAAACAGATCTTTAATAAGAGTTAAACAGAATGACCATCTGTGAATGCGGAACCAATTCTAGTGGAATTAAATAAACTTCATTTGGTACATACATTCTGCACAGAAACTATGCATAATCTGTTGAAATCACAACGGTTATTGTTCCATTTAAAAGTAGTGTAAAATGACTTCACGCAACTGTCACCGTCACCTCGAAGTATACTGAAGTTCTTCATGAAATAATGGTAATTATTGTTCTTATTACCATTATTATTGTTCTCTTGGGTTCCTAGTGGAACATAGGGCTTCAACTGCACGTCTCCACTTGTTTCTGTCTTCTGCTGTACTTTTCATCTGCATCTATGTTAGTCCATACTGTTTCAACTCCGCTTCACACAATCTCCTCCATGTCATCCTTGCACTGAAGTCCTACTCGCCGCTTCCCTTTCGGATTCCACTTGAGCAATGGCCTGACGCGAGCGATGTCACCCAGCGGTTTCCTCAGCTGGTGTCCGATCCATCTCCACTCTCTCCTGCATATTTGTTGGTTGGCAATTGGTTCTTGTTTTGTTTGTTAGTGCCCGTAGTTTCTTGTTGGTGATTCTTTCTAGTCCGGCCATCTGATCTTCAGTATAGAACGAAGACAGTTGTTGATAAAGGTCTGCAGTAACCTGTTGGAAATATTCTCTATGACCCACCTGCCAAGTTTCTGATGCGTATAGAAGAACTGACTTTACGTTCATACTGAAAATCCTACCAAATTTTGTTGTTGATGCTGAGTGACGGAGATTTCCAGATTGGTTTCAGGTTGATGAATGTGTTTATCGCCTTCCCGATTCTCGCTCGATTTGACATCCTCGTCCGTTCCTCCTGTGTTTGAGACAATAAATTTAAAAAAGTTATCCCCAACATCTTTTGTCACCCACAGTAACCCCTTTTATTAAAAATTGTGAGAAACGTTTCAGCAGTATCCTCTTGCCGGCTAGATTCCATTGAAGAAGCGGCATCTTTTAGAAAACCACTAAAAACAGTGGATACTGGACAGCTGTTTCATCTCAGTTTGCAAATCTTCAGCAGTAGGCACTAATAATCCCTCCAGCTATTAGTCTCATTGCCTTCAGATTACGAAACGAGGACATTATGATTCAGTCACTAGAATGCAATGTAATGTTTCGCGACTTCCAACTTCTGTCGATTTGTCATGCTTAATGCTACCATGGGTAAATATCTATCCTCGCACCCAGCAAAGTGGGTGGAATTCCATTCAGTAGTAGTCAGTCGATCAAATTCTTTTTGAACAACACTTAAATATTCTTTTGCTATTCTTTTGAATTACTAAGTAATTTCTGCGTATTACATTCGTTGTATATTTAGTTATATAGATTGGACACTAGTATGTGATGTGTCTAGTCCTCTGTTTCATGCAGACTGAATTCTGTCAGTCAGGTTTGCAATGTTGCCACCATTCTAGGTAGCTCTCCAACACGGTGCACATTAATTTGATGATATTAGATGGTTGGAGGCAATCAGTAGGAAGCTTCGCTTCACCTAGGTTTCGTGCTAGGGGCATGAGTTCCTTCAAGGTTGCGGATATGCCTTGCTGACTGGTGAGTGCCAACTAGCGCAAAACTGAGGTGAAGCAAGGCTTCCTGTGGCCGATTGCTTCCAACCATCTAATATAATAAGCTTAATGGTATACGGACTCGCCTTGTAACCTGAAGGTCCTGGGTTCGCATCCCGGTGGGTGTGTACTGCTGAATAGTCCCAAACTAGGAGGAAACAGCTGTCCAGTACTCCCAGCTGGTTTTTCAATGGTTCTCTAACTAATTTCAGCTCATGATGAAATCCTGAGATCAATCAAATCCCTACAAACCAACACTTGAAATATATTTATCCACCTGTCTTTTAACTGCCACATTAAATAACTTCAAGTCAATTGAGTTTATGAGACAGATACTTATTAGTAGTCATTTTCTGCATCACTTCTAATATCCTCAATATATTGGAGTAATTTATATCCACTTTAGTTCTTCCGTAAAAAATGAATAGTGTAAAATTGTATTCAATCTGAGGAACTTCTCTTAAGTGGTGGAAACTGGCTATAAGTGTGATTTATCACCAACGGACTTCTTCCTCAGTCGGTAGATGTTTACCTATTCACTCCTTGAACAGAAAACAAATCAGACAGTAACATACAACTTCATATGACCGTTTCATTATGAATCTACACTAGTGTAGTTGCACGCGAAACTGAAGCATTACAACGTTTGAAATAGAAGTGTAGGCAAGTTTTATTAAGCGATATTATGTCTTGTTTTATTAAATATCATACTGTCAGGGTAGAATTATACAATCAAACGATTTATACTGAGTGCAGACACTTTTCAGTCACACCTATAGAATATATTTAAACTCGACATTTAAATACAAGCATTCGCTTACTTCTGCAAGATTATAACCAAATACTTCACGGAAATATTTTGGTGATTTAGTGATCAATAGGTAGAATGACCAACTTCTTGCAAAATTTGCAATAATTATAGCATACACAGGAAGTGATGTAAAGAATTTTCCCCATGGAATAGGTATTTTCTGAAGACAAAGAAAAACAAATGAATAATTAATTAATTAATTCATTCATTATTTAATTACATTTTTCTACATAAATATTGATTGGTTCTTTCCAGTTACGAAGCACTGAAGACAGACTATTTTGATTGAATACTGAGAATTACAGCTGTAGTCAAAAGTTTGAATTATAAAACGTTGAGATTATTTATTATTATTTATAGGCTTTTGTTAGGAAAAAAATCCAACTCAGTAAAAAGGTATATAAAACATTCTACCATAATTATTAGTTGTATGCCACATATGACAACAGCGGGAAATGAGGAAACAGGCATAAAATGGACCCACACAAAAAACTTGGAGGATCTGGACTTCGCCGATGATATATGTCTGATTTCCCACAAACTGGAAGATATGCAAGTGAAAAGCAACAAGTTGGCAGAAGAAGCATCCAGGGAAGATAGGACTTCAGGTGAAGATAGATAAAACAGAGGTGATGAAGATCTTGGCCAACAGCCACAGCAACAGCAACAACAACAGACAACGATCAGCCAGCATAAGAGGGGCGAATCTGAAAGAAGCGACGTCCTTCACTTACCTTCCTACCAGGGAAACATCGTTTCAACTACAGGCGGACGGAACTGATGAGGATATCGAAGCTAGGATCATCAGGAAGCAAGGGGAATTTTCATTACTCTCAAGTCTGTGTGGAGTTCAACAGCACTTTCAGCATGAAAAATAAGATCCACATTTTCAACTTCAATGTGAAGTCGGTGTTACTTTATGGATCAGAGACTTGACATGTCATGATGAGCACTTCGCAAAGAACTACAGACCTTCATCAGTATCTGTCTTCACTCACTACTCAAGATCAGATGGCCGCCAGAAAGATCAGCAACAGGGATGGATCTCTGGCAACGAGCGAACCAACCAGGAACCGATTGTGAAACAAATAGGCAGGAAGAAATGGACGTGATTGCCCATACTCTGAGGAAAACATCAAGTGACATCACTAGACAAGCCCTCAAGTGGAACCCGATTGGGAAACGGTGAGTTGGCCATCAGGCGAGGGTGACTTGGAGGAGGTCATGTGAAGAGGAGATGAAAACATGTGGGCAGACTTGGAGCCAGGCAAAGACTCCAGCAGAGAACCGAACGCAACTGAGACGCGCGGCTGAAGCCTTATGCTCCTCCAGTAATTAAAGGAAATAATAATAATGCCACATATGACAACCTTCCTTTAGCAATCTGTGAGATACAGTCAATAAACAAATCGGCTTTTCATTACTAGATTTCGCATTCAGTAAAAAATAGTCGAAAATAATCAGCAGAATATCATGACTTTATATTCTGAGTTCCATAAAACTGCTTGCTTTGTGAGGAACATCCAACTATTGAAATTAATCCGAAATCCCAGAAATCCTATAATCTGAGCATCAATTGTCAGCTCACTGATAGCTAATGGATGGATTTCCTGAAGTTTTTGGAAAAATCTGCGCATTGGGTATATCATATTCATTATTATAAAAGCTTTCGTGTTTCCCAATGAATGAAAAAAGGAACGTTATTATTTTTGATGACGTTTTGCTATTTAACACTAAGAGATTTATCAAAGTATTATTAAACCAGAGTTTACAATACCTCAGCTTATGTACAGTAATTCGATCACAGTTCTTCATTATGAATTCACTTTTACTTTGCCAAATTGGTCAACTGGTAAAGATAACAAAAACATGGGCGTACAGTTAGGCAGGTTCATCATCGTATTTCCGAACATCATGCGACATGGTTAAGCAAGGGACAAACAAGACATATTCGTAGCTCTATTTTAACGCACCTTGTATATAGTGAACATATAGTTGACGTTAATACTGCATTTAAAATTATTTATCGCATCCTACTAATCTTAATTTCGCTCTACGAGTTCGTCTTCTACAGACAGCTGAAGCAATAGGAATCCACGTGAAGAAGGCAAACCTGTGTGTTCAGAAGAAATTTGTACAGCCACTTTTCTTACTTTGGCCAACATTACATGAATGTATAAAACGGACTACTTTGCCCCTTCTCCCTAAACCTTTAAAATTACAAAAACATGTGTAGATCTTCATGAGTTGGTTTGTAGGCATTCGATTTGTTTCAAGTTTGGTCGAGAATTGATATTAGTTGGAGAACCACTGAAAACCAGTGGGAGTATCAGACAGCTGATTTGTCCTAGTTTCGGGCTTGTCAGCAGTACACACCCACTGGGTTTCAAACCACGGACCTTCCAGTTACAAGGTGAGCTCATAGACCGTTCAGCCAGTGGAACCGCACTCAGGGATCAGACCTTGTATTCTAACTTCTACTAATCCGTTATTTTAGTGCGACCACCATCCAGTGTCATCGGCGAGTATTTTTCCTAAATCAGGAGTGTGTTGACGACACTAAGATGTAATAGCTGTTCAATACTTCCGGGTTTTCATTGGTTCTCTAAGTGATATCGATCCATGATCAAACTTGAAACATGTGTATATTGTTGGATTTGCTACGCGTATGAAGTTGTAAGACCAGGATGTGTTTACATATCAAATTACTCATCACACTTGTGTCAATTTCCATCACTTCATGATGGAGGCGGGGTGGGATGGTGGTGTTCGGATCAGGTCAAATCCAATCCTAATCCATCATTCCTATTCAGACAATTTAGATTTCACTTGATATGAAGTGCTTCTGATATGATAAGTTCTTTGTTATTTGTGTAATTTTTCTGAATGACTTCAACAATCTCATAATCAGTTTCGAGCCCTGATTCTGTGGTGTGTGAATTTATGGCTTATGATTCCTCAAGCTTTCCTAGTTCGACTAGATTTTTCAGTGGTTAATGTATATAAGCTAAGATTTTGTAAATTCTGACCTATTAGAACCCTGATAAATCAATCAGTACTAAATAGCGAAAGGTCAGCAAACAATTTCGCTTTTCCATCATTGGGAAATACAAAAACTTTATAATAATTTCTGCTAAACGTCATGAAAATATCTTCATGTAAAGTTTACTTGTGATATAATTTTCAATTTAACCAAAGCCTCAAATAATCACTTTCCTACATTTTTTGTATGGAATCTTTAAACCTGGAAGCAGATTGCCAGCAGGCTTGCAAAAACACACCGAATACCTTCGAAAAAGACCTCTTATACGGTAACCAGGCAGCTTAATGTGCGTCGGTGGCATAATGGCTAGGACAGTCGCCGGCCGTGCACATGGTCCAGGGTTCGATCTCCGGCCGACTCACTCCTTTACTTCGCTAAGCAAGAAGTAATGCTGGTAAAGATGAAAAATTGGGCATGAGGCTAGCAACCCTATTCTGTAAAATAAACGCTGCTACAGAAACTTCAAGCCACCAGCCTGGAGCCCTATGTTCCACTGGGGAACGTGAAGGGAAAAAGACAGCTTAATATTCCACTGGGTAAGTTGTAAATTCAAATAATACATGGTACTTATATAATTTAATAAAAACTTAAAAATAATTACATCAGAAATATAGTGTTTTGTTTTATACTGAATAATCAGCTGGACTGTAACTGATAATAAAACTTACACTTTCAATGATAGTTGTTGACTCTCCAATTGACGATTCAATGTACTTTCTTTCAGCTTCCGATATTGTTGGATGAAGTGAAGGTCTTTCATGCGTGACATTCCACCACCAGAAGAACCACATTATCCCAACAATGCCTAGTAAATAATTGAATCAATAATACGACAGTTATATTGATAGAGACGTTTAACTAATTATTTGTAAATTAGTATCTTGTTAGGGTTTGAGTATCTTCAACTTATATATATATAGGTTGTGCATTGATCGACATTCGTCAATATAGTGCGGTCAACAAAGTAAATGACACGAGTGTGATGTGCACAAGAAGCTCTAGATTACCTCATACATTACCATCTGGCTACCATTTGGAATACGGAAACCAGGCAGCTACCAGTTATAAAGTTTCTGACTTAAACACCAAGTTACACAGATTTTATTTCCTAAATGAACATGCATTTCTCCAGAGTTTCAGTTACTCCATATGTTAACAAAAGTAAGACTTCTGAAAAGTTTGTGGATGGTGACGTGCAGTGGAATTCAGGATGCACATTTCTTCCTTCTTCAGGCCCGTCATCTGGATATGCCTGGATTCTCCACTGACTGACGGTGTCTCCATTGAGGCTCAAACCCAGTACTCATAGCGTCAAACGCCAACGGGTTATCCACTAGACCACTTGAGCCCCTTGAACCACCTCTTGTGTAATGGGCATTAGTATTTATTCAATTCAATTCGGATTTTCCTGTTGTGGTCGATTATTTAATTACTAATAATTACTAATACCAATTGCACAAGAGGTGACTATCCTGGCTTAAGTGGCCTAGTGGATAACGCTTTGCCGTTTGAATCTTTGGGTATTGGGTGTGAGCCCCAGTGGAAACACCGTCACTCAGCGGAGAACGCAGTTACATCTTATTGAAGAGTCTCAAATAGGACGAAATGTGCTTTCTGGATACCACTACCAGTCACCGCCCACCAATATACTTCAAGTTAAATAATCAAACGTCATCTAAACATCTGCACATGGAGCCGACATCTCAATCTGAGGCAAAGCACTTCGGTCCTGTCAATCAACGGCAAAGTCCAAAATGAATTGAAAAGTTGAACTCGGTTTAAAAGCTTCCTATTGACTGACTCCTACTAACACTTTTCATGTATTTTCGATGTAAACAAATTTTCAAGAAGGTATTCCATACCAGAGACAACCTTTTTTATTCTCACAGGAAAATATGTAAGTCAAGTTACCTAAGGCAGATGTGATTGCTACAGGTTTAGATGACATTTGAACTATTGGAGTTCATCATGAACTGACATCGGTTAGAGGCCCGTTGGGAACAGCTGTTTCACCCTAGTTTGAGGCTCTTCAAAGTGCGTGCTATTGTTTCGGGTCCCGGTTACTTAATGGTCTGTGAGCTAACCTTGTAACCCTGCTGGGTGCGTACTGCTAAAGAGTCCGGAACCAGGACTAAACAGCTGTTCAACGCTTTCAGGTTTCCCACTGGTTCTCTAGCTGATATTATTTCGTGATGAAATTCTGCAACTCATCATATCCCTGCAAACCAGCACTTGAATATATAAACTATATTAACTAAAACCGAGAAGTTTGGTTAAGTACTAGAAAAAACCGCCAAGCAATGGCATCGGTAATAAATAATGAGGTAGTAATAGGAACTTTAGAGGGGAACAAAACTCTTAAGTGTCCTTCAGTTAACCGGATATACATTTTTGAGGAAGCAGACTAGACCACGTCGATTACTCAAACTCTGAATAGCTTTTACACATCAACATCAGGAGTGTTTCTTACAGTCCTTTTCAGACTTTTCCAATAAATCCAGTTTGCATATTTTTTATTTTATTTACGCCATTTTATAGGGTCTGAAACTGCAAGTAGAACGTACTGATGAATGCATTTAATAGGTTAAAAGGTTGATGTGTAGAACCAGTGGCTACGGAATGGGTCTGACTGACTTTGCACTCATCACCTGAATTCTTTTTCTTCAAATTGCATTATTCAATTATACAGAATCTTGAAGTTAATGCATTTAAATATTCAGATAAGTTATTTGGTCAAAGAAATAAATACAGACAACTAATTCACTCACTATTTGAAAAGATGCTGCAGCCGGTTATTAAAAATACTTGAAATGCATTTCTAGTAATGACGTAACTTGTTTATGCAATAAATTGCTGAGCTGTAAAGCACGGCACCTAAATTGTAACTTCATAAGTGAAATTTTTAAGTCACAGTAATATAAGTTACCTCAAGTCTCTATCAACCGCATTCAGCAGCTATATGACAATGCTACGTGTCAGGTGATCCACAGCGGAAAACTCAGCGAGGTAATCGAAGTGAATACAGAGGTAAGACAAGGCTATGGGCCTTCTATCACCAGTGATATTTCTAGTTTTGGTGGACTGGATTATGCGTCAGACTGTGCGCAGGGAGTGAGAAGACAGGCATGCGCTGGACTGACCAATAAGAAGACTCTAGAACACCTGAATTTCTCACGTAGATGACTTATGTTTAATGTCATAAAAACTTGAAGGCTTACAGGCGAAAACCAACTAAAATGGCTGAAGAAGCAGGCAACAAAGACAGGATTCTAGATGAACATAGAGAAGACAGAAGTGGTAAAGATAACCAGTGAGAACAGCAACAATAACAACCAGCACCAGTCACCATCGACGGGAAAGATTTAACAGAGGTCAATTCCTTCACCTATCTAGGAAGTATCGTTTCAACTACAGAAGGGACAAATGAAGGTGTCAAGGCCAGCCAGAATCGGAAAGACAAGATATGCCTTCATCCATCTAAAACTAATTTGGAAATCTTCTGCACTCTATGGTATAAAAAAGAAGATTAGGATTTTCAACACAAATGTGAAGTCAGTCCTTCTATACGGGTCAGAAACTTGATCAGCGTGTCAACAAAAGGTTTTATAACAAATTAAAGACTTTTATCAACATCTGCTCACTTCACTGACTCCATACTGAAGCTAAAAATGGTCAGTCGGCCGTCCAGAAAGTATTAGAAACAAGAAACTCTAGCTGGGAACAAACCAACGGAGAGCCGATCGCTCTACAACTATGTAGGAGAAAATGGAGATGCATTCGGCACACATTGAGAAGGCCATTGAATGACATTACGCGCCAGACCACCACTCAAGTGGAGTTCAAATGGGGAATGACGAGTGGGTCTTTGGTGGAAGGGTGACATGGAGGAGATTGCGTGAGGAGGAGATGGGAAATTATAAGCGATCGTGGACCCAGATGAAGAGAACGGCAGGAAATAGAACAAAGTGAAGATGTGTTGTTGAAGCCATATGTACCACTCGGAATCCAAGGGAATATTAGCAATAATGTAAGCTTGAAATAATCTACGTAGTCTTATCGAAAAGAAATTATTCATGCATTTTTATTTCCTTTTGGCGAAGTCTTCTGATCGAAATAAAGTAGCCAATATTTTTCAATCATTTTATTATTCAAACAAAGAGAATATGTTTTTACACGGGTTATTCCAACTGAATCAATTTCATAAGGTGAGCTGTATGTAAGCCCCCAGGGTTACATACTTATAAATCATAGTGATTTTTCATAAAATCTTTGTTCAGCTGTACAAACATTATTAAAAAATACAAAATAAATTAATTCTTTTCTTATTTATTTATTTAAAAATAGAGCATGTTTATTGTTGATAAAAATGGGAATGATATTGATTATTCAATTGAATTTTCCAAGTTACCTTATCGTTAGACTTGATTTATTCAGTCTATTAAAACAAGTGTATTTTATCATATTAACATTTAAAATCAAAGTATTAACCAATTTACTTATATATAATCGAGTAACGAAAATAAATGAACAGCAATCACTGGAGAGGCAGGAGATATCAGTATATCCAGTCTTAACTGGTTCACAAATGTCGAAATCATTCAGTGGAATCGGAAATGATCGTTCATTACTGATTCTGCTTTATAGTAAAGAAAATTGTAGTGAACTGGATATATACTCATAATACTGGCAGACAATAAACGCTAGATTGATAAATTTATATATATATGTATAAGATTGGTGAAATATTGCCTTTTAACCACCAATGAAACTTGAATAGTTCGCTCAAAATGTAACAATAGAAGTCAAGACACGGAAGTCAAGGTATCTTTTTCACTTACTAAACCGCTATTTATGTACATGCAGTTTATATGCATGAAACAATCACTGAGCATTTGATTTTGGCATACACCAAACGGCATGAAATCGAATGTTCAAATATACATAGTATTCTGTTGCTAATGCAGTAGTGAATTGTGAGAATATATGAGAATCATATTCCGTTGGTATACCTTGTCTGTATCACACCACACAAATACTTCATCAGCATTACTAAAAAAGATCTCAAAATCATTACTGTTATTACCTTGAGTTCCGAGTGGAAGGTGCGGCTTCAAAAAAAAATCCATACTTTGCTCTATTCTATGCTGTCCTCTTCGAATGGGTCTACAATTGACCATAATCTTTCATATCCTTCTCACCCCACGATCTCCTCCATGTCAGCCTCTCACTGACGACGCATTCATCGCTTCCCATTTGAATTCCCTAAGTGAGCTTGTCCCGCGATTTCAGTCGACGGCCTGCACAACGTATGCCCGATCCATCTCTATTTTCTCCTACATGTTTTTTGAGTGATCGGATCTTGGTTGGTTTGTTCCCAGCTAGAGTTTCTTGTTTCTATTCCTTTATGGCCGGTCATTCGATCTGCATAATAGGATCATAATCAGATATTATTCTAATTCTAGATACTATCCTATAAGTGAACAGGCTTATAGATCTGACAGACTTTTAGTGGTTGTCTTAGACTGAAAGTTAGGCGTGTAAACCAAAGTAAACTATCTGGAATTCTACAAATAACAGTCTTCTCTAGTCATATTTGAGTGCATATTATATTGGTAAGATAACATGAAAAATTGTCAAAAAAATATTTACACTAAACTTATTTATATTAGCTTACCATAGAAGTAGAACGGTGACTGCCAACCCATTTGTTGAGCTAAGAGACCAGACAGTGATAGTCCAAGAACAGCACCTGCATATGATCCTGTTTATAGGGAAATAGTGAAAAGGAAGGAGATAAAAACCTTATTAAAGTATCTTAGTAGAAAAGACGCTTTTTTAGGCCTACTAAAAAATTACTCCGTCTTCTGTGTGAGATGCACTGTTATATATATATATATATATATATATATATATATAACATCAGCATAAAGATAAATATTGAGTAATAGAAGGAAATTGCACAGGTGGTAGATCTAAGTAGACTTCTCATCACTGTCCTCTTTCTAGCCAAACAGCACGACTTCGATAAAGCTATTTTTTAGTATTCAAGACTTGTTGCACAAGGATTCGATTAATTTCGAGTCTGACGACGAACTGACTTCAGTTAGAGAACCATTTGAAACCAAGGGGTACTAGGGTAGCAGTTTCATCCTTATAAGGGACTCTTCAGCCGCATGCCCCCTTGTCCCCACTGGCGACCAAACCCAGGGCTTTAAGGCTACAAGGCCAGTTTGGTGATCAATTATTCACTGGGACAGAATCCAAAGGGCCATTAACTCTAACTTCTACTAATTCACGATATACTGCGCGATCGACAGCCATTGTTATCAGTGAGTATCTGTTTCTACACTCACTACACATGGCTTTCCAAGCTAATTTATTATCAATATAACTGTTGAAATCCCCATCAAGTGACAAAAGCAATTCAGATTTATTTATTAACAGTAAAACCATCAGTAGGGATGAAGAATATCGGTCTAAGTTAAACTTTAAGCACCACTGACTACCAATGGAGTGCGACCGCACCAGTGACCTTGAAACGCTCACTTAGCAAGTTAGTGAAACCTGGCAAATAATGTTGTCATCACTGAAATAAAATATCCTCATCGAAATGTTATGTTATTATTAAATGGGATATCTGGCAAGTTTCAGCTTAGGTTTGAGAAAGATTCATTCACGCTTTAAACAAGGACATGTTAGGGTTAGGTTAACCTAATTAAGGTGACATTGGGGTTGGTTCGAGTTAGATTACAGTTAGTTTAGGGGTATTTCCACGTAAGGGTTAGGTTCAGGAAAGATTAGGGTTATTGTTAGGGTAGGGTTAGAAGACTTGAATAATTAAATGCATAGAATGTAGTTAAATTGCTCTGTTGATATAAGAATAGAACTTTTGCACTGTGGCGGTAGACTATAATTCCATTGTGGGTAAAAATTTATTCTGATAAAGTCTTACAGTGTTATACAGTAATATTTAATGATGGCAATGTTTCGAGCACAATTTACTGCTCAGGAAATATTACTGTATTACATTATGAGACTTTATCAATATAAATTTTACCCACTATGGAATTATACTGTTGATACTCCAAAGTGGAACTGAGAGCTATTTTTATCACATGTGAGAGGAAGGTATCCTCTGTAACACTTATTATACAGTCTTTATGCATTTTTTTCATAAATATATGCACCCATACACAAAAGTGCCTCCTTCACATGATTGGTGAGTTCAAGGTCATGAGCTGATTGGCAGTGTTAGTGGTGCTTAAAGTTTAACTTTGCCGAATATTGAAATGTATAGATTTATCAGTTAGCTAGTCACTTAACAGTAGATACAGAAGCATATTTCCTAATTTTATGTGATATAAGTAGATTTCGGGTATATTATTATGAATTTAACTATTATGAGGAAACAAAGTAGAATTTTCTAAATTACTGCTGTTTCACAAATTGTTGTATTCGAAAACACTGACAATACATAAACGTCGAGATTTTAAATGTAATACAGTTAGTCGTCTGAATAGCATGGCGACATTACAACACAATGAAAGCAAAATTTACCATGTATAAAGTTCTAATTTATTTGTCTGAATAACGGATAAAAGACTACAACTGTCGTCATCAAAGTATCCTTCAGAGTGGGCATGTAAATGTTCACAGGCTGATAGGAAGTCATGTCGAAAGCAGTTTTAACTCTCACTATAAGTTTTTAACAAAAAATGGAAGTAATTTAAAAAATTGTTTATATTAACTACGTTTTAGAGATGTATATATACGATATATACATGTATATATCGTTCAAATCAGCATCTATCTACTCATCTCAATGTCAGTCATACACCTAAAATAATATCGCGTAAACGAAGGCAGTTTGTACAATACTTTAAGTTTAGATTTTGTATTCGCTTTCATTTGCCAGCATGGGACTGCTGCAGCATAGTAAAACTGATACTGTGTAGGATATAAACACCCGTGTCGTGTACCTCCAGACTTAGGATCGTAACTGCTGCAGTTTTTACACCTTAGGAATCTGTTTTTCAATTTTTGTACTTTGAAGTTGACTTGTACGAATGAAAGTTAGGAGAAAAGCAGCACATTTATGCAGTATACTTTGGTTTTTTTCAAATATTCATTTTGTCATCCATTAAATCTTTTGTCACACACTAGTACACAAAATTAGGAATTCAGAAGTTTTTAACATTTATTCTACTTGTGCTGTCCTTGTGAGATCTTCGACTCACATGTGAATAAAATATAACGGAACTGTTTTCCTCTCTGTGTATCCCAAAATAGCTGAATAATCGAGGGATATGAACAATTAAGTTAAGTCCTTCTTTTTATCGGACTTTCACCACTTTTTCTTACTGTGTACATCATTTTACAGGCAGTATTATTTGATTGATCAGTATGACTGTATAGACAGCTTATAGCTCGGTGATTTATGAAGTGTCATTTTTACTCGGAAGGTTGCATACTTACGAAAACTTGGTTTAACTGAAAAGCTTTACGTGGTCGTGAAGAGTAAACACAAACAAAAAGGAAGTGTTGTGAATTTGTTTTTGAGCTTTGTTAAAAATGTGGCATAATGAAGCGTTCACAAATCACCTACCACAAAATGCAATCGTCGCTAGTCGAGAACGTTCAAGTGGTGGAGCCCAGTATCTCCAAATCCCATGACAAGCCGGATAGGATGTTCCCTATTGTGAAACGAAACATAAAAAGGTGTGAAAAAATATGATGGACAAATGAGTTTGAAAAGTATAAATGTTGGTTTTTATAGTGGGATGACAAGTTTGTAGTATGTCCTGTGGTCAAATGGTGCATGTTCTCTGTTTACGTTTAACCCATTTCTGTTAAACAACATGCCAAAATGGGCTCGACTTCTAAACATTTTTTTCTGTTTAATGACTATCTGGTTACATGACTGTAACCATTTTCCCGAGTTGTCATATTTAGAGTCCATGACCCACGTCCAAAGTAGCGGAAAGGAAATAATACGAAAAAAATGATATGCTCAACAAAGTCCGCAGCATTTTTTTTGTAAAAAAATTGACCTCAAAAAGTAGTAGCAGCACCGTTACAGTTGAACGGATCATTGAGTGCCTTTGTCATCAATCTGGGTTTACACAAGACCTCAATCTTAATAGCCGTGGAAATACGTTTTCACACACAATGTGAATTCTAGTTTATGTTTGGTCTCATTGAGAAGCTATAAAGTACTTTCCAATGCATGTCTTATCATGGACTAACATCAATTACAGGGATCGCTGGAAACCAGGGAGCACTGGACAGCTGTTTCGCTACACAGTGGGACTCTTTATCAGAGTGCGGTGACGTCCCTATCACTGATGAAAAACGAGATGAAGCTCGTTGTCTCCTCAGCCACATGGGCTGGAATTCAATGACTTTTGAATTTTAACTTTATCAATCAATGCTGGTTCTTGACGAAACATAAACTAAAATTAATCCAAATCCTTACAAAAAGTGATTAATATAAATCTAAAGTATTTGGTTTGATTTAATGAGCTTTCAGTTGCAGAGTTGCACTCTTTTCTCTCCTCTCAAGAAAATATGAACCCAGTTGATGGAAAATGACCTCATTTTTTGAAGGTATAACCTGTGACATGAGGAGAAATTAAAGAATTCACTACTTCAAGGACAGAAATTATTGTTTCAAGAAGTGGTGTCCATCAGCGGTTTGTCCTTAATTGTCTGACATTATTTTTTTCGACATCATAGTATTCTGTATATTATAAACGAACTTAATTTGTGAAACTGTGGTACAAATAAGTGAATCGGAAAACAGATATTACACTATTATTCCTTGCGTTCCGAGTGGAACATACGGCGCCAGCAACACATCTCCACTTTGTTCTTTTTTCTGCCGTCCTCTTCAGCTGGGTCGACGATTCCTCATAATTCCTTATCTCCTCCTCACACAACCTCCTCCGTGTTACCCTGACACCGATGGCCCACTAGTCGCTTCCCGTTAGAATTCCACCCGATGGCCTGGCGTGCGGTGTCATTCGGTGGCCTCCTCAATGTATGCCCGATCCACCTCCACTTTCTCTTACATATTTGTTGAGCGACTGGCTCTTGGGTGGTTTGTTTCACGGAAGAGTTTATTGTTGCTAATTCTTTCTGGCTGGCTGGCTGGCTGGTCATTTGATCTTCAGGATGGAGCCAGCGTAGTAGACAGCTGTTGATAAAAGACTGTAATTTGCTGGAAATCCTTTTCTTGACAAATTGATCAAGTTTCTGACCCGTATAGAAGAACTGACTACACATTAGTGTTGAAAATGCAAAAACAGAGTTGATCATTTAAACGATCTATATGGAAATCAAGATGTTGAAGTTGAGATCGCTAAATGGTATTGAACAACACTGCCCAGCTAAAAACGATCTACACACCGCTGCTGTGGATTATCGAGATATTCATTAAATGAGTGAAACAAATAGAAAAAGTACTCAATATCCAAAAGTTATTCTGAGTGAACTTTCCAGTTCGTCTCAGGAAAATACCTGTAATGTGCTGGAGATATCTTTGTGTTTATTTATAACTTTCATTTTGATAACAGTGGCTTACTATACTGGTGTAATTTTCAAGAAATAGGGTAATTTATTGGAAACATGTGATACATCTGCGCAAATCATTTCAAACGTCGTGGTCATACATGTACTTATACATATTTATATAAACGTTAACAGAGATAAGGAGTCAACACTGAGTCTATATGGCTCAAAATCTTTAAGGATCAAGATCACAGATTAAAGGAGAGAAAGAAAAATGGAAGGAGTGAAAGTATTGATTTATAAAATAAACCTTAGTTTTAAGATGGGATTGCCAATGCAGTTAGTTACAGTAAAAAATTTTTAAATACACTGATAAATGAGTGAAGAATATTGTTATCGATGACTTCCTTTTCAGGTCCTACAGTTACGTAATGGGTATCTTTAGCCAACGTTTTATTAACATAAAGCAGATTAATGCCCTTTTATGTTTATCGACTCAACGAATTTAAATTTATAACCGAAATATTGTTGTATACGTGGGTTTAAAGACACTAGTGGAACAAAATTTTACGATATGTTTCAAGTTTGATCACAGATTGATGACAGTCAGAGAAATATTGGAAAACCGGGGATTACTAAACAGTTATTTCTTCCTAGATTAAGACTTTTCAGCAGTACACACTCACTGGGGTTCCAGGCCAGGATCTTCCGGTTACAAGGAAAGATTGTAGACCATTCGACCACTCGAACTTCTACCAATTCGTGATTTTAGTGCAGCCACCACCAATGTCTTCAGCGAGTGCTTATCCTCACACCCGACCTGGTGCACTGCAGTTGCCAAGGCTTCTCACTAGAACTCCAAGTAACTTCATACTGTAGCCAGTCATTGGCAAGCATCAGATTAATTTTGAAGTGTTAGTTATGTATTGCGATAGATGACGTCTGACATTTATTCCTAGTGTTATTTGAATTAAACGATTTTATTTCATCGTGAAGTCACTTAGGAATGTGTTCTGTGACTATAACATGCAGAGTTCAACAGGTCCCTATTATGGGCCCATGACTAAAAACACGTATGAATTTTTAAACACAGTGAGATATGACGTTATCGGTCAGAAACTAACACGGTTCTCTTTAGAGTGTTGCTATGACTCTTTGTTCATTAATCATACTCCGGCATCTACCTCTAAACTATAAAGATATAAACACACTTTTTATCAGTCGAGTGAATCGGTGGAGCTTTCGTGGGGGGAGGGGTAATATATTTGTCATCAGCATGCCTGAAATGTGTTGCAAAAATATGCCATATGTTTCAGGTAAATTAAGTCTTCTTTTTTGTCAGAATTCATAAAAGGAATTCATCGCTTTAATATCTGGATGAAGGTTATTCATGAATTAAGACAAGGCGTCTAAAGTTCACCCTTTGAAACAGTTTATAGCTAATGCTTTCGTATGTATCGTTGTTTTATGCATCGCTATAGGAATCAATTTGCAGTCCTATAAGAATACACGTAAAGCCAACTCACTGAATACCGACCAATGTGATTATCCAGTGAGTTTGAGAAAGAATTTGAAATTTATCATAAAATTATTAAAAACTGGATTCTAATAAAGTTATAAATATGTTAATATGGTTGTGTTAAGTTGATATTTAGTGAAGCGTTAATAACATTACATGTTACATGGGATATCGATCATTCTCTAGCTAAAACATAATCTGCTTTGTAGAGAAGGTAGGAGGTATTGTGGTTTTCTCAAAGCTAACTGACGTAAACTGTCATCTTTTTTTCATATTCATACAAAACTGATACAAATATCCCATTTTGTCTAGTCAGTCTACCAGACAGGAATATTAATCAAATTAATGGATGCAAAACTTAAACAGTGGGGCAGGAATGCATACATATATAATGTGATTAGTTAGTTTATTGTCCTCATATGACAGACTGATATTAATGTAGAACTCATTAGTTTTTAAAACCAAAAACTCTACATAGCATTAAAAGAGTCAAATTAATAGTTACCAGCTAGATTAGTTATAAAACTAATGCAAAATATAAATCCGTCACTGTATTCAACCCTGTTTGTCGTTAGGGATGTCAGGAATAAATTGTTACAGGCTGAATTTCACTAGCATGACCACAAACCAACATCACAGATAAGTAAGTGTCCTCTTGTATGACTTGATGGACTCGACTGGTCACGTGTTTTCACTGGAATGATGTCAGCTAGTGATCAGAACCTGTAGCCAATCAAATTTAGTCCTTAGTGGTCCAGGGCACTTTGAAGATTTTCTCTGACCATCTTATAACGGTTCAAAGTGTACTGTGATGAATATTCTCCGAGCTTGATGGATACATTTCAAAATAAACTAATGGAATCTAGTCGGCGCCAGGAAGAAAGAGACATTTGACACCGGTTAAACTTCAGCAGCCAGTCAATTCAGTTTGCCTTCCTTTAGAACTCTGAATAAGTTGGATTGTAGCTTTTCAGTTTACTTGAAATATGACAACTGTTTACACGTTAGTGGTTCGGCGGCAGGACACTCGCCAACAACACAAGTTGTCCGAAGGACTTCTGAACCCGCTAAGCCAGTGAAGAGATAAGGTTGGGCGTGAGGCTAGCTACACCACCCCTTAAAAATAAAAGACTCACTGTTAGCAAAACTTCAGAGCTATATCTTGAACCGCTATTTTTTACCGGGAAAGAATAAAATAAAATAATAAATTATACCAGCCTGTATACAAGTTACCCTCGCATATTTGTTCTAATTTCTTCAATCAGTTATCATGGTATGTTTCTAGAAGAAGGTGAGTCCAGTGTCAGCTCCCTATTTACTAAAGCTCTCACAAAAATGCTACTCAGATTTTTAGGCAATGTATGGAAATTGCATAATTTGAAGATAAAAAAGACAAGTACTTCTAATCCCATGTTACGATCTCCTGGATCTTGAGTCTTATTGAATACAGGAAAGAGGAAACATTTTGTACTTGTATATTTACTTATTTATACTACATTCCTTTGTGTTCCTAGCAGAACATAGAGGTTTGAACTTGAGCTTTGAAGCTTCCGTAGCAATGGCATTTTTTATTGGGTAAGGTAGCTGACCTTATTCCTAACCTTCTGTCTTCAGCAGGTTTACTACTGGCTGAGCGAGGTTTAGATTTGCATCGGGCGGAAATCAAACTCCAGATCACTTGCGTTGTCGACAAGTATTCAGTCGCTGAACCACTGATCCACATTTATGTATTCAGATTTCATTATTTCATTTTATCCTGTGGTCGTCAGTTGCCGTAGATTCAGATGAATTTCTAAATTTTGTGAATCAGAACGCTCCCTTATTCCCTTTAGATTATCCTAATTACAAGATCTGAGGAGACAGCACTACTCAGAATTCTGAATTCAAACAACAGAGTCATAGCAAGACAGTGTTCTTCTGTACTTTATCGTTATTATTCTTTTTATTCAACGCTTTCCTTCTTCCTGAGATGAATACTTTCTTTAAATTTAGCTTAAATGATTCAGATGTTTAAGTAAAAGAATAACTTATAAACTTAAAGACAGAAAAAAATTTACACTATACAGAGATAATTCAGTGTATGATATCTTACCTCAACTAAACCTTGTAACATTCTTATTACCATAACAACACCAAAGTGGATTTTACACGCACCCGGCAATAACAAATTTAGAAGAGCACTTCCACCGACCGCGATACCAAAAAGTCGATTAGCTGGAAATTTAGATGCTATTACACCACCAGGTATTTGAGTTATTAAATAACCATAAAAGAATGAACTGTCTACAAATCCTCTTTGACCAGCTGTCCAATAGAAATCTGGTTTCTAAAAAGAAATTGCAGAAACAGGCAGGAAATTTATTTTTCATAATTAGTATACAATTGAAAAGACTAATGATGATATCACTGGATGAAAAGCTTCTCAAAAATTTAAGTTTAAAATTTTGAATAATACAGTATGATACTTTAAATATTTTATATGTGTACCTAATGATATCAACTAACAGACACTGTAAGTCGTTAACCTAGAGAATCACCGCACTAATATCTTTTAAAGCTGGCTACTGAATATATCTTTTCCATGGTGAATGGGAAACGCAGTTAGTTCCACGTTATTAAATCTATTGTTTAAGATATAATGCTTGTTAAAACAAATTTTCATCCTTCTTTATTGAGCCAGCTGTGAGCTGACTGGTTTAACTGTGAAGCCTTCTACTCCTTCTAGACAGCACACTTCACTGTTACCATCTTATATTACTCTAATCTTGGTAAAAAATTTGTTTATTACCGAGATGACTGCAAAAACTAAAACTTTTTTCAAACTTTAATAATGTGTCCCGTTTTTGAGTCCCTGCACCAGGAGAATTCAGTAGGGTGCAGCAGGTTGGGTGTGAGGACAAATACTTACCGAAGATATTGGCTAGGGGTCACGCTATGTCGTGAACTGGCAGAAGTTGAAATTCATAGACTGGCCATTGGATCAGGTCCCAGTGGCTTAATGGTACACGAGCTCGTCTTGTCACCAGAAGGTCCTCGGTTCGAACCCCAGGGGTACGTACTGCTGGAGAGTCCCAAACTAGGACAAAACAGTCGTCAGTACTCTTATGTAGTTTTCTAATGGTTCTCTACCTAATGTTAGCTCAAGATGAAATCCTGGAACCAATCAAATCCACACAAACCAACACTTGTATAGTCTGAACAAATGTCAGAAGCACTTTCAAATGTATGAAGTAATTTTACAACTAAGCTGCATATTCTCAAGGCTATGGAAAATGTTAGCAGATAAATACATTTTTATTTTGATTCACACAACCAGGATATTGTGGAACTGGATTAGTCAAGTCAACTGAGAAACATAAAAAGAATTACTCGACGGCTAACTTAAAATATTTTCTTGTAAATCTTATCTTACACCACAATGACTTAATCCGTATTGTTTTCCCTTCATTCAGTATTTCTCTATGCTGTGCTAGTATTCTTATAATAGAACAGATTTATAAATTCAACTTGTATAGGGAAAATGACTTCTTAAAAGCATATAAGGAAATGTGAAGAAACTTTGATACGCGACCTGTCCGATATGTATGTCCACTTTAATTTAAATCTTTTCTAACTTAAGTCAAGTTTCTTTGCGCTTTGGTGAAAGTATTCGTGCTATACTGCAAGCCAGCTGAGATAAGAAAATATAGTAGTAGAATAAATGACCGGAAAATGACTCCTGAAGAATCTCTTCATAATATTGATCCTTTATTGAATATTTCACCTACTTGTACAATTATTACCCCCTTTTACCCTTGACCTGTGTATCAGTGATCCAACATGTACATATCTTCTTTTGATTTAATCCACATCGGTCTTTTTTGTGGTTGATTCCTGTTCCTAATGTTTCACTTTTCATTGGGTGATAGTGGACTGCTGAAGACCAATATTTTTCACGGCTCCGATTTTCTTTGAATGAATTAAAAAGTTATCACTCTGGGGTTGTTTGATCTTGGAAGGTCCACAGGAAACGTTCTTGGGTGTTTGATTTCTGCAGACAAAGGTTTTGTCCCGCCTTGTAGTCATTTCCCACGATTGTTTTTGGTTTAATAACTTTGTTGTGGAGCACTTCTTTTGTATGTGCGAAACTTTTGGAGTTTATAGCTGCCTAACATAATTGTAGAGGTAACTTAGCGTTTTAGATATGGTATTAATATTTAACAGTACGACAAATTTCATCTCAGTTAACTGTCACTTTGCTAGTGTTGGGATATTATGGTACTGTGAGTCACTCACAGAAGTTTGTTCAGCAATGCAGAAGAACCTACTGACTGATTCCCTATGTTTAGATCAGGATACTTTGGGTTTAGGTCGTTTCAAGGGATTTGTCAGGGATAACGCCTATAACTACTTCCAGCCCAAAGAGAAAAAGCTATTTGGTATTTTTTCAGAGTTTCAGTTACTTCTCAAGACGATACAGATCTATAGTAACAGTTAGTCTGAAACCATTTCAAAGTATTAATGACTCTCTCTTATTGAACAAGAGTGGAATTTTCCTGGAAGCATAAATAAATTTTCTATTTCTATTGAATAGAAAAAGCACCACTTGGCGTCTATGATAAAAGTATAAATTATTTCTGGTTTCTCATTTCAGTATCTCTATTCTATATTAAAGTTAAATCTAGGTAATTTTTCTTTTCCTGTTTTGCAAGAATGACTTATTGAATACATTTTGGTTTTGAATTTCTTGAGAAGCACATGTTCCTGTTTTGTTTTGTAGAAATATATATATATATATATAAATATTTTACGAAACTCCTGATTTTCTGTTTAGTATTCACTGTAAACTCTGCAGCAGTAGGTACGTTGCTTGGTCTAACAGAAAAATTGCTCCTTAAAACTCCACAGTAGAAGCATTTTATTCCTTTGCGTCCCGAGTGGAACATACGGCTTCAGGACTTAAAGTATTTGCAGCAATGGAGTGGCTTTTATGAAGTGGAGCCGTTGGACCCTCTCCCGACCTTCTCTTTTACTTGACTTATCGCCGGCTAATTAAGACTTACGAATGCATTAATATAAGAATAAAACTTGTGCACTGTGGTAAAGTGTAATTCCATTATGCGTAAATTTTGTTTTGATAAAGTCTCACAGTGTTATACAGTAATGTTTACTGATGACGTTTCGAGCACAATTTATTGCTCATAATCATATCAAGGTAATCACACGACTTCCTAAACTATATAAATGAATTTAGGAAGTCGTGTGATTACCTTGATATGATTATGAGCAATAAATTGTGCTCGAAACGTCATCAGTAAACATTACTGTATAACACTGTGAGACTTTATCAAAACAAAATTTACGCATAATGGAATTACGAATGCATTGGCTGGGAATTGAACCCGAATTACGTACGTGGTTGGCAAGCATTTTATCAGCACACCACCAACACACTTAACAAAAGTAGCTTTCAGATATCTTTGCAAGTGACTAATAATTCACAACCACTTCTATCAATCGGTGCGGTTTTAATCCGTTCAGTGAAGAAAGGCACTGATTCAAATGCCTCACTTTTATCTCACAGTCAGGTCTTTAATAACAAACTTTATGGGATTTTGAAGTTCATACATTTGGTTCCCTTGATAAATTTCGATAAAGAAAGGAAGACGAAATTTGCAGTATAAAATGATGGGAGCCTAAGAAGATCAATCCATAGAAAACCTACGTGGAATGGTCAACTAACAAGCTTCTATAGCTGGGTGCCCATTCAACAAAAGCGAAACTTAATTAAATCACTTGCTACCCGCATCCGACGCATCTGTAGTCCCGACGTTCTGGAAACAGAATTAGATATTCTGAGAGAAATATTCATCCAAAATGGATACCCAATAAGATTTATCGACAAAAATATGAAACCAATAATTCGGAAAAACGAAACTTTAACTGTGCCTAAAAAGAAAATCTACATGAATTTGGATTTCAAGGGAGATTTAGCAAGCGATATTCTCAAGAGAAGGATCACATCATCTCTGAGAAGAACGTTCTTTGCAGCAACGCTACGAATAGTGTTCTCCAGTCGCCCACTGATCTGCAGAAGCCTCAAGGACAAGATCCCGCATCTGGCCACTTCTATGTGCATATACCAGTTCACCTGCTGCTGTGGAGCCAGGTACATCGGTCGTTCGACGCGCATCCTGTCCAAGAGAATTCAAGAACATTATCCAGCATGGTTGCGAAAAGGCAATACTGGTGCAATAAGGAGTGCGATAATTGAACACCTGGTCAACACTGATCATTGCATTTCAACGAACGCCTCCTTCAAAGTAATCTACAGAGTCAAGAATAACATATCAAAGGCAATACGGTTTCGTCTCCTTTGCATCGCTGAAGCTCTGGCCATTCACATGGAAAAACCGGAGCTGTGCATACAAAAGAAGATTACTCAACCACTTCTACTCTCATGGTAACAATGTTTTGATTTGTTTTGAGCTTTTATTTTTATTTTGATGACTTAATTTTGTTTCTTCGCCTGTTCCTTAATTGCTTATAATTCTTGTATTCACTTAAATCTCTTACATAGTTTCGTATTATCTACTTTGTTTCTATGTGCATCCTGAGTAAAACTCACTCATCAAACTATTCATATTATTATTGCATAACTTCTTTTAACAACTGTTTGTGACAACTCATCACCTTTGTTACTACCCTAGCACTTAATGGTCTTGACTTATATTACCAACCTTTACCTGTTTAGTTAAAATAACCTTAAGCAATTATAATTCTTGTATCCACTTAGATCTCTTACATAGTTTCGTATTATCTACTTTGTTTCTATGTGCATCCTGAGTAAAACTCACTATTATTATTACAACTGTTTGTGACAACTCATCATTTTTTTACTACCCTAGTTTCATTAGCACTTAATTTTCTTGACCTGTATTACCAACTTTCACTTGTTTAGTTAAAAGTAACCTTAACCAATTGTAACTTTGTTTGACAAACTTAATGTACACATACATACAAAACAATGCATATATATTTGCGATTGTACAGCTAAGAAAATGAATTCGCCGAAAAGAGACTCTTCGCTGATCTACGTGTTTTGTTTTCATTAAAATGATATCATTCTATTTCACAGGTTCTCATCAGCTGCAGTTTTCTGAACATATTCCCAAAAACCTGTGCCTGAAAGGAAGCAGATATTCCCAGAGTGCAATTACCAGACACATTATTGATACCGGACATCTCGTAGAGATTTCTGCGTCCTTCAAAATATCAAATAGACAAAGGACAGCAAATTTACTACGATTTGCCGAAGCAATCGCAATCAAAAGACTTAAACCAGATTTATGCATACAGAAAGAGAGTGTGATTAACCTCTCACTCCCTTGGTAACAGAATTTTGATTTTGATTAGTCATCTAATTCAGTGATCTCAACTCACTGAACAAATCTTAATCTCATAAACTGTAACCGTTCTTGTTTTTTGTTTCTTGAGTTGCTATGTGAACCTAAAAGCTAACACCGTTCTGTTAATCAATTTTTTCTGTTTTCTCTCTTACCCCTCCCCCTCTTTTCAACTTTAAAAGCGTATAAATTGATGATGAAAACTTAAACTAAAAACATTGTAATGCTTTCATTTAGATGCGTCAACTTTATAGTATCTCTTTTCTACCACCACTCGAACATTAAAGTATGTTATTATCATCTATATAACCATTGTAATTTCAGGTAGTCTGCAGCTGATGAGAACCTGTGAAATAGAATGATATCATTTTATACTGCAAATTTCGTCTTCCTTTCTTTATCGAGATTTTGAAGTTATTCTCAAATAACAGTTAAGCACATGCTTCAAACTGACCAGTGTAAGATAGATCGGATCTTTGCTTTCCGATGAAATATACCTCTGTCTTTTGCAGATGAGCCAAAACTAAACAACGAGAGACAGCATATAAATTCTTGGATTTTAATTTCCTGCATATTAGTGACTACAACTGACGTGTGCCTATAGTTCAAAATGTTTTTGACAAAAAGATTGAATCTTCCAAGTCCATTGTTTAACATACAATATGCTGATATCCAGTAATTTTGTTGTCGAATAGAAACCTCTATTTCTATGGTTTTTGAACGGTGTTCCTCAGAGTGCTCTTATTTCTCCTCTGATGTTTTTTTCTTCTTACTTAACTTACCCCCATTATGAAAAAGCCAATTTTCTTAAATTAGCCGATGATCTGATTTTTTCCATGCTAGTTACTTCGTGGTCAGATTGTTCAAAAATAAATAATTCTTTATCAGAAATTAGTCATTGGTCTTTGTCAAATGGTCTTGAGCTAATTCCCTCTAAATGTCAGTTTGTTTATTTCTCTTTCAGGTGCAAGCGCAACTTACACCAGCTGGCTTGTTAACATGACTCTGTTATCATAGATGATAACGAAGTTAGAACCACATCGAATGCTAAATACCTTGGATTGTTCATTTCCTCTGATTTTTCGTGGTCTTCTTACATTATGTTAGTTTCTAGAAAGATATTTTGTTTAACGTTCTCCTTAACGAAGTTAAGACAATCTGGTATTACTCAGTCCCTACTTTCTAAATTTGTTAATTCTTGTAATCTGCCTACTCTTCTCTAAAAATTCCCCTTATTCTTTCCTAGGATAATTAAGAAATAATTTATCGTACTGAGAAGGATACCAAAAGCAGTCATCAGAGCTAGTGGAGTTGTCACTAAAACAACTCGTTAGTACTGCTGTAGATAGACATATGGACTCATGCAAGAAATGAATGAATATCATTTTGTTGGGCTCTGAGCACCCTTTCTATACACACACAAATATCTCCCTGCATTTAATCAGGAAGGACTAGAGGCAAATATACAGGACCTTATGCTCGAACGACAAAGCATAAAATTCTACGATATCTTATTTGGAACACATTTTGCGCGATGAGCAAAGTGTAAGACGTGACACTACTAACTTACTGAGAAATACTAAGTAAACGTCCCTTTTTTATTATTTTCTTCATTATTATTATCATTATTGTTGTTTCTTTTAGTTCCTAGGGGAACAAAAGGCTTCAGATGTATGTCTCGATTGCATTCGATTCTCTGCCAACGTTTTCATCTGGCTCCACGTCTGCCCACACGCTTTCATCTCCTCTTCACATCACCTCCTCCAAGTCACCCTCGCACTGACGACCAACTCTCCGCTCCCCACTCGGTTTCCACTCTTGCAGTGGCTTGTCTAGTGATGCCACTTGATGGTCTCCCCATAGTATAGCCAATCCATCTCCATTTCTTCCCGCATATTTGTTGCATAATCGGTTCCTGGTTGGTTTGCTCCCAGAGATCCTCCTTGTTGCTGATCTTTCCTGGCCGGCCATCTGATCTTGAGTATTGAGGGAAGACAGCTGTTAATGAAGGTTTGTAGTTCTTTGCGAAGTGCTCATCATGACGTGCCAAGTTTTTGATCTGTATAGTAGTACAGACTTCGCATTGAAGTTGAAAATGTGGATCTTATTTTTCATGCTGAGTCATTCCTGTTGATCTCCACACAGACTTGAGAGAAATCAAAGCTTGTCTCGTTTTCCCGATTCTCGCTTTCATATCCTCGTCATTTCCGCCTGTAGTTGAAACGATGCTTCCGAGCTGGGTAGGTAAAGGAGGTTGTTTCTTTCAGGTTCCTCCCATTTATGCTGATTGTTGTCTGTTATTGTTGCTCTTGCTGTTGGTCAGGAATCTTCATCACCTCTGTTTTCTCTATGTTCACCTTATTGTTATATTGGTTTCAATATTTTCATTCATATTTTAATTTTTATCCGTATCCTTATTCAACAATATTGTCAGTGGAAATGCCCCTACTTGTGTTGATGGCAATTCTTATCAGAATGAAATGATCGGTGTTCAACGAACAGAGCCATAATGGTTATTTGGCTGAATATAATAATGACGATCAAATTTGAAACAGGATAGAATAGTGTTCACGTGAATGAATGTCAGTAATATAATTGTTGTGGAGTGCATAGTCTTTAGTATTAGTACTCTAAAACTATAGATTTAAACCTGAAAATCATAATTTAACATTTGGTCACCAGTACCTGAAAGATTAGCATTCATTTCATATGTAATACTGATACATTAAAATCAACCTACCGATGTAACATTCATCAATCCGCCCAAACCAACCACATGGTCTCCAGATTCATGATGTGTATGTTCATAATGTTTATGAGGCGGTAGATGAGATAGATTCGCTGCCATCTGTCTAGCTTGCATAGTTAACATAGCCCAACTCATATTACACCGGATACCAAATGTAATCATAAAGCCTAAACTTGATAGCCATGCTATGTAATAACGTTTGGAACAACTGCAACATAAATAATATAGACATTTGCCTCGACATGTGTTATCATTATAGGCAGCAGTACCACTTGTCCCATCGGTATTCATTTGTCCATAAGTTGAGTTAACCTCAGACTTCATAACTCCAGTATTCTTTAGGAAACTAAATGAAAGCAAAACAACAATTAGAATCGAAAATTTCATGTTTAAGAAAAGTGCATGTTTATGATAATAAATAATCAACTTGTTTGTGCAAATTAATTCCAAAAAATGTATAAACATCATGTTTTCCACTCAAGATTTCAAATCTACTGACGGTTGTCTCTTGTATATGAACAATGCACAACGAATGTCATATACACCACCTTTCGTATTTATTTAGACCTAACCAACGCTTTTTCTTAGACAAGATTCATTAATTAATCATGGCTCCTCTTTAAAGCCTATATGATTTGCCTGAATTAATTGCACAAAGTCGGCATACGCCTTCAGCATTAAGACCTACACCGTTCCAACATCTGAAAGGCATTCCGAAAACAGTGTATGGATATCTTATCAAAATCAGCTTGGTTGGTTTACTAACCTAAAGTAGTCAATGTAGGGGGGGGACTTAAACCTTTAGAAGCTACCCAACTTATCTACTTTAAAGCAGTAATTTAGTCATTTTCAGAAGTTTGGGATTTGTTTGCGATACATTCCCAAGCTTTTTGTATGCAAGTGCCTTCTACACGTAATTTCTTGAATTTTATAGACTTTTATGGAGTAGGTGTACCAGAATAGCTGACCAGAAAACTCATCTATGACCAATCGATTTACACTATTGTTACTTATCTGAGTATTTTAACTAATTTTGTAATTTAATTGGTGGATGGTGACTAGCAGTGGAATCCACGATGCGCATTTCGTCCTACTTGGGACTTGTCAACTGGATGTACCGGCATTTCTCAGTGAGTGATGATGTTCTCACTGAGGCTCGAACCGTTGCACAAGAGGTGGCTCTCGTGGCCCAAGTGGTCTAGTGGATGACGCCTTGGCGTTTGAAACTATGGGCACGGGGTTCGAGCCTTGGTGGGAACATCATCACTCACTGAGAAATGCAGGTACATCTAGCTGACTAGTCCCAAATAGGACGAAATGCGCGTTATCCTGGATTCCACTGCTAGTCACCATCCACCAACTAAATACTAATTAAATGCCCAGACATCGTCGAAGCATCTGCACAAGAAGCCGACATGTCAACCTGAGACCGAGCACTTTGGTTCAACCAATCGATAGGAAAATCTCAAATTCAATTAATTGTGTAATTACTCCTCCTTCACTCTAACCACCATATAATTGTTTGGATCTTTGCATATCTTCTATTGACTTAATCCTTATTATTTGTCTTTGTTTTTGACTGATTTCTATGCCTACTACTTCACCATGCCATGGTATAAAAATGTTAATAGACGTGTGTTTCTTTACAACTGCGATTCTGTTTGAATGAATTCAAGATAATACGGTACAAAGACCGCTTGACTCGACTTGTCAATCTGATTTTTTCAAAGTTCTGATTGTCACGTTGTCTGGAATATTCTTGGTAATCCTGAGGTGTCTTAATTTTGTTGTGCAATACGCGGTTTGTACTTAGGAAATTTTAGGAGTTTAAATCAGCCTGATAGCATTAGTGAGGTAGTTTTGCGTTCTTTGTGTCATTTACTGCTGTTTGGTTGTACCCTACGTTCTATTACATGAAATAATCTTTTGATTTTTCGGGACGTAATTCCTGATTATGGGCTACTCGCGGAAGGTGGGCAAATTGTATGGAGGTTCATATCGATTGATTTTCTGCATTAAAAGCAAAATACTTGGGTTTTGGTAGGTGATAAAATTCTCTCTTATCAACTGAACTTTGCAGAAGAAAAAATAATTGGATTACTATTAGGAATAATTTACAGAATCCTGAATGGCAACCAGGAGTGAATGTATCTGCGACAATATCAACACCTTTGGTCCACGTAACAAAGAGTCGCCATCCGCTGTTTCTGAGCATCTTCAGGACCACTGCGAGGAAGTCTACACTCGTTCCAGGTGGCTCAAACCAACCGCTGAAAAATTTATGGGTTAGTGTGATATTTTATCATATCCACTTCCAACAAATGAGGCTGTGTGATTGGAATTCATAATAATTATTCTAGTCATCTCAGTTGATCGACCTTGATAAAACGGAGATATAACCAACATATACAAAGACGCGAAGGTCTTTCCAACTACGGGTGGCACGAATGTAGGTATCAAAGCCAGTCTGGATTACAAAAGTATAAGTGACATTTATTACTGTGTAATCACTGTGGAAATCTTCTACACTTAGTATAAGCAGCGAGATCCGGATTTTTAACACTAATATGGAATCAACGCCTCTATGTAGTTCAAAGACGATAGTCGTTTCCAACAGGATACCGCAGATTTTCGTCAACACCCAGCAACGATAAGTTCCTATTGAAGATAAGATTGTCAACCAGAGAGAATAACCAACAAGAAACTCTGGCAGCATGCCAACCAAGGAACTGTCACCCATAAAAGCAGAAACAAGTGGAGATAGACTGAACATACTCTGAGGATACGTTGAGTAAGATTACGTGACAGGCCCTAGAGCGGAAGCGGAGTAGCAAACGATGAGTTGAAGATCGTGTAGGGGGGGAGTAAAACATCACGGGCAACCATGCAGATAACTAAAACAGAATACCGAGGATAGAGTTAAATTCAGATATGTTGTTGAAGCTCTATGTTTCACTCGGAATCTCAGGGAATAGTAAGACTATTAGTAATGTCTATAATAGTATTTATAGTTTAATATCCCAACGAATATTAATTGAGGAGGCACTTTTTATTAAATGCGACTGTAGTGCATTGGCTTTAGCTGTCAACATCAGCTAAGGAATGAAGCGTTGTTAGATTTTAAGCACCTATGAGAATAAAACCAAAATATTCTGTTTACGATTGAATACACACAATCTTCTATGCTGTTCTTGAGTTAGGTTTCGATTGCCAAAGAATGATAAAACTGAAATAATAACTGCAACATGTATTAAGCATTCCTAATTCTTTCTGACAATCAACAAGCATATACTACTGAAAATCGATAATATTGATTAAAATATGTTTTAAACTTATCCTCAAATATTGTATGTTTATTTCTTTATACAGATTTAGTACAATAATATTACATAGAGTTAAGTATATCTCTATAATCTATGTTGTAAAAATTCAAGTGCCGGAAATTGTACTCACCTTTCCTTTTTCATTAAAAGAAAGACTGCTTTTAACTATTCTATTATTATTATTTTTATGTTCATAATAATTTTATCGTTGTTTTTTTTAATGTACACGAAATGACAGGAAGTCAGTTTTCTATAGCAGTAGAATTAGAAGAGGCGGAGAGAAAAAAAGTTCATTTCCTTCCTGAACTGGTTTGATTTTATCTCACTCACTATATCGCCTACATTATTCATTTCCTTACTGACTCATTAAACTCTACTTATCACTCGCCTTACTTACTCACTCACTCACCTAAAACTACCTTTCATTCACTTACCTCCTTTCATCATCATCAGTTTAATGCATACTTAGTAGGGTTATGAATAGAAATATCAAGTATCAAATGAATAGAAGTATACTTCAATATTACTGAGCTCTTTGTCTGCCTGGTTCTGTTTATTGTGTTATACGAAATATCCCAGTTATATGTATATGTATACACTAATTTAATCAATATTTTGTATGCTTCTTTAATGATAATAATATGGTAAAAAAAACCTTTTATTAAACAAAATGTTTCCATTTCCTTTTAGTCCGATCGTGTCATCCTGCAGAAAGCGGTTACCTAACAAACAATAGATAAACTTATACACCCAGTCACATACACACACAAAGACATACGATGATGCACAAATTGAGGAAGTTATACAACACAAGAAGTATGTTTATGTAATGGAAATGATCAATATGCGCCTATAAAAGTGTCTAGCCAGAAAGAGGTATTGATGAGTAGGAGTTCGCTTTGTTTGACGATTACCCTCAAGAAGTCTATCGGATATATGTGATTTCTAATATTTTTGTATTTAAAATTAGATCTATAATAGATTTTCATCTGTGGTTACCGTACGAACCCCACGGAATAATGTTTAATGGAATAGTTCTATGAAATACTGTGCTTTAGAGTTATGATCACCTAAGGAGTATTAGATTTCTTACTCTACATGCAGTGCTAGCGTGAATCATGGTCTATATGGAAATGAAAGGTTTTGAAATGTACCAGTAAGCTGCTATTAATGTCTTTCATATATTTATGATATAGAACATTGAAGTGAAAAATGCCTTCAGTGCTAGGAACTTTGAAAGAAGGGAAGCTGATTAGTGGGAGTCGATCACCAGTAATCATCATTCAAAACATTTTAGATAAATAAAAGGTACCTGGACTCAAGCAATCATCTCCCGATTAACAACTGAGGCGGTTAACTAAAGATTCGATAACTTGAATTATTTAGCTCTTGCTCAAATAACAACACATATAGGCTTTCAATCTATCGCTTACTCAGTTAGAGGTGAATACCAAAGAAAATTAGAAATAGTTTCAATATAAGACAAATACATACTTCAGTATTTACTCTCCAGTAAAGGCTGAAAAAAAGACTTAAAATGTGATTTTTGAGCATTTTAATAGTTGTGAGAGTCAGTCATTTAAACTTAGCCAACCAAACTCCATATTTATGCCTCACAAAACTGAGCGAAAAGTTAAAACCTATTGGCCTAAGAAACAATCGCCCAAAGAATGGTACTTTAGAGTGTTAGATTTGTGATAATTCATTTTATGTAACGGTTGATTTGGTCGCTAACATATATTAGTTAGAGGGCCTGTGAAATTGAGGGAGCCCTGGACAGCTGTTTCGTTGTAGTTTGAGACTTCTTAGTGGTATGCACCCACGAGGCCACCAGGGATCGAACCCAGGGCCTTCAGGTTACAATAAAAAGCTCGTTAATCATTCAGCCACTTGGGCCGGAATTCGCTAATTCGTGAATTCTAATTATGTCAACCTGTGATGATGCAGCTCTACCCTTACAAGTGCTTTCAATGAGTAACCGGTTAAACTTGACATGGTGGACGCCATTTGCCACAACTTCTCA